ATCGTTGTTTGTATGACGTCACACTTGTGCAACTTGTTTACGTTTTCTTGCAACATTTTTACTTCTTCTTCCATTCTTGCTCACGTTTTGGCATTTCTCTCTCGCAAATGCACCAGTGTGACGTCGCACAAAAGTTATTCTCAAAAATCCTCTCTGATGGGCGCAATCTTGTATTCTATCATTCTTGACACTGACCTGGGTGCCGAATGCGCTGATTGAGAGAAGTTACTTCGCCTTGTCCTTGTTTACCATCAGTCCCATTCCCTTTGCTTTTTAATCTAGTAGTAATTTCGATAGTTTAGTTCAATGATATCGATGTCATTGCAATACGCCAGAAATTGCACGCTCTGGTGAAAAATTATTCCTGAGCGGTTTAGTTTTTCAGCTCTTATTATCTTAACCAACATCAGATTAAAGAAATCACACGAAAAGGCAACTATATTGTCTGAAAAGGTCCTCCCCAGTTGGCTCAGAAACCGATGACAATGCACTACAAAAGATGAGTTAATCCGATAGGTGGCGCAGGAGTCGAGATATTTGAAAAATTCGTATTTATAGTCTGATTGGATTCATACAGGGTGGGCCAAATAAGACCTACCAATTCTTTATTTTTTAATATTATTGTTATTTTTTTCTGCATGTTATAGTTAATCTCTTGGAAAATCATAGTGGATACTCACAGTAAGACCACCAATAACAACTACAATACGCTATCCGTTTTACACAATTAGCCACACAAATTGATTTTTTAGGTAATTTTTTCATGTCGGATGAAGCGCATCAACAAGCAAAACTGTAGATTGTGGGGCTTTGAAAATCCAAGGGAAACACACCTGCACCAGTTACACTCATCCAGATACACTGTTAGGCGCGGTGTTATCGGCCAATATTTCTTCGAGAAAGAAGATGAAACGCCAGAAACGATATCAGGGGCTTCTTACAGAACAATGATTGACAACTTTTTGCGGCCAGCAGCAAAACAGCATCCTAAAATGCTGGTTCCAACAAGATTTAGCGACTGCGCACACTGCTAGGCAAATTATTGACCTGCTACGGTAGGTAGGTAGGTCTTATTTGACCCACACTGTATTTAGAAGGTATATTAACTACATGAAAAGGAATAACTCACCAAAATTTTTGCCGATAGGTTGCGCACGAATCGATATGTTTGGTAAACCTGGATTTATAGTCCTATTTCTTTTATATTTAGAAAGCTTGCCTTAAAAATATTTGATTTAACAATTAACTTATTTTTATATTTTTGTAGTTTACAGATCGGCTTTCTTTAGGAAAAAAGTGGGTGGTGAGGTGAAAATTCGTTTTGCGCTAATTTAATCGGTAGCGGCGTATTTACTTTGTTTTTATGAGTATTTTTATTTTGCAATATTTTTGCATGTGCCAAACGTGACGTAAAGTCTTAATACGAAAGAATTTGAATTGATGCATATATACGCATTTACCAATCATTTAAACATAATACCCCTCCGATTTAATAGGTCCATGAATTCCATCGAGTTCATGTGCATTGCATGCCGTTATAGGTACTTTCTCTGAGTTTTCGTTGGAAGCGCAGCTGATAATATTTTTTCGTGGGAATTCGCGGCAAAACTAAAGTAAAATCAACATATGACTACTAAAATGCAATACTGTCCCCGGGACTATTTAAACAGCAACGGGCTTGAAATGCTTTCATTCAGAAATCGTCAACTACAAATCACATCATGTGGCTACGCTTTGTGTTCTTGACCGCTGCGCTCCTGCATCTCTCCGGATTGTCCAGTGCTTTTACGACTGGCATGCAAGGATGGGGAAATGTCATAGAAGTAAGCAACGAAGGCGCATTGAACGTAAGTACCGTTGAGTGTAAAAATATTTTAATGCAAGAAAAGGCTTAAAGTAAGTCAATCCTGTAGAAATTTTTATGTGGTGTCAATTACGAAAATTGCTATGGACAAAAGTTGAGCACAGAGGTCTCGGTGAGCAACGACAAAATTTATAAGTTGGAAGTCTACGAAATTAAGTAAGTGCATTTTTCAATATTATGTACCTGAAGATCATTTGTTCAGTTTTGCTTATTTCCACACAGGCCACCGGCGACCCTTAAGGAACTTCTTGATGAACAAAATAATTTAGTAGCAGCTATGCACCGCCTGGAAGACAAAGTGCAGGCACAAGGTGCCGACGTACGCAACGACTTGGAAGCAGCTGAGTATAAATTACGGGAACAAAATATTGACATTTCAGAGATCAAGCAGGATGGAAGGTCCTTGAGATCAGAGATAGAAGAAAAGTGAGTTGCTTTTTCGAATTCATATTTTGTAGGGGTTTTCAAATTCATTTCTTTTTCTTTTATTTGTATATGTGCACATATTTATATCTCAGTTTGGGTCAGCAAAAAACTGCATTACTTAAAATACTTAATACCAAACTTACGCGGCTGCGCCAGAAAATCGGTAAACCTGCTGCCGAAGACCCAAATGCCGGTTTACCAGCCAGCTGCGCTGAAGCTTTTGAAAAATACGATAGCCCGGAAAGCGGTATCTTCACGCTGTACTTGCCCGATTTTGACCTGCCACCCTTCGAGGTTTACTGTCTAGCAGATCCGAATGGCGGTCCTGCTTGGACTGTGGTGCAACGCCGCACAGATGGCACTGAGGATTTTTATCGCAACTGGGATGATTATGTTGCAGGATTTGGTGACAAGGAAAATGAGTTTTTCATTGGATTGGAAAAATTGTATGCGCTCACAAATGATCAGCCTAACGAGTTGTGGATAAAATTGGAAGACTTTGAGGAGGATGAACGTTATGCGAAATATGCAGAATTCGCCATAGGCGATGAGAGCGAAAACTATGCTTTGAATGTATTGGAAGGATTTTCGGGCGATGCGGGCGATTCAATGATCACGCAAAAGGGGCAGAAATTTACTACTAAAGATCGTGATAATGATAAGCATACATCGTATAATTGTGCTGTCACCTTTAAGGGCGCTTGGTGGTACAATCGTTGTCACGATAGGTGAGTGTGCGAGAAATATACTT